GTCATAATGGCACAGTCTCTTCTGACAGGACTCCTGCTCCAGGTCCAGCCCTTTGTTAAATTACATGCGAACTAGTCACTCACAGGGAGCGCTGTAAGCACAGCTGACTTGAAACAACTCCCCCTCCCCTCTCTCCTTCTTTCCCTCCCCCTCCTCTTCCCCTCCTCTCCTCTTTTTTTCCCCCATCGCCTCTGCCTGGTTCCCTCTTCCTCCAGACATCAACATGGCTCATGGCTCCCTGCCTCACTCCCCTCAATTGTCCCAGTGCCCCTTATGAGAAGGTCATGCCTGACTCTCTATTCCAAACACAGCCCTCCCTCCGCCTGTCCCCTCATCGGCTTCATCTTTCTTCACTGCAGTCACGACCACTTGCAGCCTACTGCACATCTTGGTGTATTTGTTTATTGTCTGTTCCTATTGGCCCATTAGCTCTATGGGGCGGGGACTTGGCTGCGTTTCCAGCTATAGTCCAGGACTTAGCACAGGGCCTGACATGTTATCAAACTCAGCAGATGTGTGCTGAGCAGGTTAATGATCGCAGGGCAGAGCCGAGCCGGAGTCTGCGCTGTCAGTCCCGACCTCATATGGTGTAGGGAGCATCTGAAAACGCCCTTTGGCCACCCTACCTCCAGGGAGTTCTCCACTTCTCCCCCTCCTCCCTTCTCTCCTCTCTCCTCTCTCCTCTCCCTTCCTTTCAGGAGCAATATAGCGCCCCCATCCCTTGTACATGCTCCATGCAGAGCCTGAAACCCGCCTGCCCCCAAGTCCTGGTCCCTGCTGACCACTTTGCACTCACCTCAATCCTATCAACGTGTTTTCCCCAAAATGCTCCCTTCTCTGAGAGGAATTCTGGTGAGAGCTTTGAAAGGAAATAAAATGTCATATCTTGTTTTTTTATATAAAACAGGAAACAGACCATGTGTAGCAGAAAAAACAAGACCCAATCTAAATGTTTAACAAAGGTGGACGTGGCTCAGCCATTCTGTGGACGACAATGCAGCCACTGAAAATGATAGTATTCTCATAGTACAGACAGAGCTAATTTCCTTAATATGTAAAAGGCTTTTATAGCTCAATAGGAAAAATATCAACAACCCAATGGAAAAGTGTG